TCTCCTCCATTCGATACGAGCCACCCAAGCCGCTCGCTGGATGCTTGTCGAAAGGTGACATCTTCCACTATGACCCAGTCCACAAAGCGAGCTTTCCATGTCCTCTCGTCGAAATGGGAGGCGAGCTGGTAGCCTAGGCTGGCCTGTCGAGATAAAGGTAGGGACGAAGAGGATGGTGACGTAGCCGCCAAGGTAAACGGAGTCTTCAATCCGGGACGACTCTCGCCGAATTCCGTGATTTGGTGCTGACGACGCAGGTGCTTCGCGGCGTGAGACGTCCCTGAGGAGGCGTATAACGCTGTCGAATAGTTCTTCTTCCCGTGACAGATTCTGCAAAGCCAGTAACGTACTCCGCTATGCTCCAAGTTCGCGCCGTATCTGTAGATCCACGACTCTTTGATCTTTGTGCCGACGACCCTTTTGTGACGAGGTCTCATTTGGCACCCAAAGTCGTTTGCCGCCGTGCCAGATGTTCTCCCAATCAATGTCAAATTCGCATTGTGAAGCATCTGTCTCGTCTGCTCTGGCCTCGGACGTGGCAGGCGTAGCCTCATGACTGTCATTAACTGGGGTGGGATGTGGACGGGATGCAAATGACTGCGGTACAGACGACACGGGGCTCGTATCCCTACTAGAAGACATAATGACGCGGTATGATACACTGTAGCTCGTAGATGGATGGGAAGACGCGAAAATTGGCAGGGCAGACGCGTAACTTGTTGACATTAGGTAGGTGCTACCTTAAGGCGGAACGGACCAATGGCATCACGGGAACACCAGTCCAGTCAGACCGACTCAGACCACCCAGACCGACTGACTGCTCCGGTCGGTCGGTCTGATGAGAATTGGCGGTCGGTCGGTCTGCGGTCTGTCAGACCACCTTCAGACGGTCTGTCAGACGGTCTGTCTGTTAGCCACACTGCCCCTATTTTATCTGACGCTCACGATACAGTGTCGGTCACAGCGATTGAGGCTATTTCTGCAGCTGGGAGTTGCATTCCTTCGGTTGTGATACTCCCTGGGGTCCAAATCAATGCTCCTAATAGTGTGGCCAGTGCGTTTGGACCCCTCAAACTGCTCATTCAGTGCGTGTGACTTGGCCGCACTACACTACCAGTGTGCCTGAGATGTTCAAACTGAACTATTAGTCTGTTCGTCACGGCCAAACTGAACTACAGTGCAAACTGTGGTCTACACTATTAGTGTGAACATATAGTCTGACATTTGGCATTGCACCCGTCGCACCTGCAAGGTTGCCTTCAAGTTTTCCAGCGCCCTCACCGAATTGCCTGCCTTACCTGCAGCTTTCTCGCCCCTTTCCTGAATCAGAGGCTCAGACCCGGTACCGGTGGCTTCCGGATCGATATAGCGACACTGGAATCCATAATTAGACAATCTTCATCTGACGAAACAGAAATCTTACCTCGGATGGGAGTATCAGAGCGCTCCGGTCCCAGGATCGTAGGCATTCCAAGAGATTTAAAGTTTCAATGTTCATAGATCCTCGCTGGTCGGTTACCGAAAGTTTGGCTTTGGAGAAGAGCCGCTCTGTCTCAGTAGACATAGGCGCAATCGATAGAAGGTCAATGGCCATCAAAGATAAGTTAGGGAACCGTCGCCGCTGCGCTGACTCTAACCACCATTTCAACGGATCCGATACCATCACCACAGGCTCGCGGCAATACACTTCGTACTCGTCGTCATCCATGTTGAAAATCGTAGCCTTTGCTCTTTCATCCACATTTTGTACCCATTTGGTCGTCTTGCACTTGGCTCTTGTGCGGAAGCTGGTCGAAGAACAGGGCAGGAGTGGTAGATTTGTATGCCTCCTCCAGAGCTCCCTACCCGAGCTTTAGCTCTCTCAATCCATTCATTCTTGTCGTCCCAAGTCTTCTCCATATATGCCCACTTGAGGGAAGGATTTAATACCGTCGCTGCTGAATAGACTGGCGAATCTTCCGTCAATTCGTAGTAGTCGGCTAATTTTGCCCATGTCGTCTCCATCATTGTAGCCAAGTGGGGGATGGTAGTGGCCTCCTTGGCCGCTTCAATGTGATGCAAGAGATAGTCCATGGTTGGCAGAACGTCAGAGATGGAATTGCCGGTGCCTTCGTTGGCCATTGTAGCGTCGTGAAAAGGTTCGAGAAATTTGTGAATTTCAGCCAGAGTAACCCAGTCAGAGGAAGTCAGAGCATCGTCTTGCAGGGCAGGCTCTTGAGCACAAAATATGGTGATGCCTTGACGGACTTTTGTTCTAAGGGCCCACTCAACCATGCTATGCCACGAATTCCAACGAGTGTCATTGTCGCGCCGTAGCCGTAGACCGTCAGTGAGACCAGTGAATGTCTGAAGTCGCTGGGGAGTCCAGGTGATGTAGACCACGATATTATGCAATTTGCCTATCGCCCTCGCTTTCTCCATTGCTTAACTTCGTCGTCGGACGGTCCGTGGTAGGAATCTGCTGTGGGTGGTCGCTTTCCATGAGGAACTCCATCACGGCCAGGTTAATGATGTGGCCGAAACAGCGAAGTCGGTGAGGAAGAGGATCGTAGAAAACTTCGAACTCGTGCTCCAAGTCGTCGGAGACTTTGTCGATCATGGTATTCATGTTGGTGGCATTATCCATCATAAAGTATCCAACTTTTGTCGCTATTCCATATTCTCGTATGAACTCCATGATGGCTTCTGCCATGTTCTCGCCGCTGTGCTGTCCTTCCAATTCTTTTATCCTCACCACCAGGGACTGCAGACCATGATCTTCGGTAACGAATTGAACTGTAAACCCTATTACGCCCAAACAATTCGGCGATGTCCAATTGTCTGGAACAATGTGGATTGACGAGAGAGCATTCTGCAGAGCTCGCTTTACAAACTCCTTTTTTGTCGTAGCCCCATTGTAAGTCATTTTTAACCGTGTCGCCGGACCTCGGTGTCACAAGTAACTGGAAAGATGCCATGCATGTGAGGGTTATTTTGAGTCAAATTGGCCTTGACCACTGCCCAAGTCAAGGGGACAAAGGTCCCAGTTATATACACAAGAATGGTGCCCTGTAGGTTGGGACGCCTCCTCGGCTGGGGCGGAATATCGCTTGACACTCGGGAGGAGATCATCGGCGGCCGGACGGATATACCGGATAAAGTCGCGAAAGGCCGGCTGCTCAACATGAGCAAATGAGAGGCTGCAGGCTACTGTATAACGGCAGTACAGTTCGCGGAGAGTCGCTTGGTCTAGGGCATCTACCTCTGCGGTCGCCTTGCGTTTCTTGGTGGAGACCAAAGTTCCATTGGCCAGGAATGCGGTGATGTCTCCGAGGCGACTTTGCGTCACTTCCCGCCTGGTCTCCTGCCGCCCAGAAATAATGATATTGTGCTCCTTTCGCAAATGATTGACGATGGCGGACGACCCACCACAGTAATTGTATTTCTTCGCTCTTTTCTTGTCGAAGCAGGGCTGGCAATGCCACCATTTCGTTCCATTGAATCAACCCAAGCTGCCGGAATACTCCTACCTTCTTCTCTTCGACAATACTGCCAAATAGGAGACGTCTTTCGGCGGTAGACGCTAAGGACAGGCGAAGAGGATGGTGCCGGTGACGGGAAGCCGCTGTCCCACTAATAAGGTCAGAATCATCTATATAGGTGCCAGCCTCGGGTGATCCACGATGGAGGACATGATCCTCTAGGGAATGCACTAGACCATAAGAGTGGCGATCATGGGAATCTGGCGGAGAGCAGGATTGGTGGGATAAACCGGATTGTTTGTGGCAGCTCCGGTCAGATCATTCTGTGGTGGACAACTTCCTCTTTTTGACCACCCTAGGAAGTCCTAGTGATTTGGTTTGGACCACAGAATCCAATTAATTTGAGTTTGCCGGCCAATGATCGGTCATATCCCTTTAGCGTCGGCGCACGACGAAACTTTACATCGTCGCGAATTGTTCCGTACGTGCTCGCTTCGCGCTCGTCTCGCGCTCATCTCGTGCCAGCCAAGCGACACGCCCCAGTGTTCCTAACGTCGGCATCCAATTTGCGTACGCAACGGCGGTGGAGATCCTCAGTTGAGCCTCGACGAGAAGAGCATCAGAAGGCTTGCGGTGCATCGACCTATGAAGCTAATGATTGGTGTAGCTGGGGCCGTAGAAGTGTGGCCGAGGCTCAATCTGCGCTTTGGACTGTAACCCGACTGACAAACTTGAACAAATTGGCAGGGCAACATCCGGTATAATGGGTTTTCTCGACCAGAAACGATAACTTAGCAACATGTTTTGATAGCATAATAAAGTCAATAACAGGCGGAAGCTCTTAGCAAAGCTTGTGTTTAGACGCTTACCAGTATGCTTAATTACAACGGAAAGAAGCGAATGTATTGGCATCTCAACTGCTTCGCATAAATATTGACGAGCCAGCCTGCCTCCTACCCTAGAGATGACAGATAGGTTAGAGGCTACCTGGCACCCCGCCTTGTACGGTGACATAACGGGTATATCATAACTCCCCGACCGGGGTTCCGCCACTTGGATAATACGCACTTCGTCTTACAGGTTATACATGTTTTCGTTGGAAATCAATCCGAAACCCTATTTCAAGGTAGTAAAATCCGGGTTGCTGGTAATCATGGGGCGCACTAATAGTGCAACTATTAGTCTGGACCCTTGCACTGAACTACCCGTTCAGTTTGGGCAAGCTACACTGAACCACCAGTGTGGTGTGAGAAACGCACACTACACTAATAGTGCGGCACTAATAGTGTAAACCACAGTGTGCACTAATAGTCCTCTTAATGGTCCACACTATTAGGAGCGCTGGTCCAAATTCCTGCCCGTTGGGTTAGCAACAGCCTTGACGACGATACCATCATTTCAACCAGCCAAAAGGGGTATATTAACGATGTCATCGCGATTGAATGGATCAGACACTTCGAGAAACACACGAGACCAGTTGATCCACTTCAGAAGCGGCTTCTACTTATGGATAGCTGTGATAGTCACTATACAGAAGAGATGGTTCACTTCTGCTTCGATCACAACATTAAGGTCTTCCCAATGCCTCCCATCTTACACATCAGCTTCAACCTCTTGATGTCGGCGTTTTTAGGTCATACAAACACTGGCATCAACAAGTTCTACATCGTGAGATTGCTGACGGGGCATATGACTTTAACAAGTCCGATTTTCTATATCATCTTCAAGAGGTCCGCACTCGCACCTTCAAAAAGCACACAATTCTCTCATCTTGGCAGAAATGTGGCCTCTTCCCATTCAGTCCCGAGATCGTGCTCTCTCAGCTTCAAGACACGCTCTCGTCGCTCACAGAAGAAGTGGCTATTAAGGACCTGCCGGGCTCGATCGAAAGCGAGCCTCAGGGCGGGCCTCAGGCAGCAAGACCATCAACACCATCGCCACACACGCCGCCCTCGATTCAACGATTCAACTGGAACAATGTTTCAACGCCGAGACTCAACCTCTCTACGATTCAGAGGTATCACGCCTACGTACAGCTTCGTCTAGCCACATCAGTTGACTCCACATGCCGTTGACTCCTCCGTCACATACGTCTATGAGAAGGCGCGGAAAGCCGACAAAACCTCGCTCTCAACGGCATCACCGCAACGGCCGAGATGACGAAGATAAAAGAGAAACAAGCCAAGCGCTCCAGTCTCCAGCAACAGACAACTATTGTAGCGAGATACGGCCCATTAAGCGTCTGACGCTAGAATTCGAGTCGCCCGAGACGAATACAATAGACAAGCGGCACAAGAAGAGGAGGCACAGAGAGTCAGGAATAAGGAGGTTCGCGACGAAGCTGGCTATATACGCCGCTGGCTTCGCAAGGTACGCTTCAACGTCAGGATTAGCATCACAGAGGCGAGGATTCGAGACATCAGAGGTCTCTGGGCCAAGGGCGACAAGCGCGCACACCTCAATTGCAATGAGTGGATGTGCGCAAGCTACAGGATTCTCCGCGAGCTACACAACCGCGGCGTAGGGCAAAGCAAGGCGATCATGTGGCCGGAGTACTATGATCGCGAGATTGTAAAGGAAGCAGCCGAATTAGTGGTGATGGAGGCAATAAGCGTGCTATTTGCCGTCAGACGCTTTCCTTGGAAGCTGACGGCATCGAGATGCGATGAAGAGGAATCATAAGACGCGCTCGAGGCTGGGAAGGAAGAAGAAATCGAATAGAGCTCAATTCGATGCCAAAACACCAAAAACACCTCAAAGGCAGTATGGTGATGTATGACTAGCTTGCAATAAAGCGAACATGTGTTGCACTTATCGCGGGAAGAGAGGTACTTTTAAGTTCTAGCAAAATGGCGGGGCTCTTATGTACTTCTTTTTTTCCAGGTCAACGAGCTTTTTCTAGGTCAACCGCCCCCCCGTGACTGTGGAGCTGTCACGGGGATTGGCCGACTTTGAGGCCCCCCTAGTAGTATACAATCCTGGATAGGCCGCTGCTGCAGTTCCAACTGCGTTTCGTCCTCCTTGGAAGCCTTCCGCTTCTTGCACTGCGGCTTAGGCATATCCGGTTTCTCACCCCTTCCCACTCTATCTGAAGACTTCCCAGTAGCAGCTGCCGCCTTCTCTATAGCCTTCGTACTCCGTTTTCGACGTCCCGTTTCCTGAAGAGGTTGTGGCGAAGTTGCCAAAGGAGAGGACGGAGTCGTCGAATGGTCAGGAAGCTGGCCAACTCCTTCGGCAAATCCGAAGTGGCGCGGTCCGCTCGAGCGGCAGCATGCTCTGCGGCCTCACAGCCGGTCATGAATCGTCTTTTCGTGCCACCGTGGGATTTGAACCTCTTCAAGCCAGGCTGATGCAGTGCTTCAGGCAATTCCGGGGATAGGAGAGCTCTTGACTGTACCTGCGCCCAGAAACCTGCTATTAGACGGTCATTCTGTAAGCGGAAGAGTCTCGAGAACTCCTCTGCCTGCTGTCCGCCGAGGCTCCCCTGTACTTGAACGACCTCTAATCCCGATTGAAGAACCATGTTCCTACCGCCATCTTGGTAACGGTCCCCTGGGTTTTCTGCTTCTTCAGGAGCTGCCTGCTTTTCATAAGACATGGTCCAGCCGCGTACCACGTCAGGACCGTCGATCAACCAGCGTGGATGAAGAAGATTGAGTGGGATAGCGCAGGACCTAACAACAGCCTCGTACAGCCAGTGTCGACAGGGCAGGCCATATCTGAGTGGAAACTCACACGCAGAAGGACATCCGGGCTCGTTCAGAGCGCCCAATGCCTCGCGCTCCTTCTCGATCTCGGTGTTTTGCCCCCACCTTAGGGCCTTTGCTGCCTCCCACTCCGGAGCTAGTTTGCTCAGGACATAGTGTGGAACCTTCCCGATAAGAAGGCGAAAAGCAGCTCGGTCCAACAGCCTTGGGACGTCCGCCCTGCTCCGATCCTCGTCTTCGGTGATTTTTGAGTCAATTTCTTCAAGCTTTCCAGTTTTTGACAAGATGCCTGCAGGGAAGCTGCCTGTTGAGAGACTGTTTGACCACGACATGGTAGCTTTCGTTTCTCTGTGTGCTGTTACATCCGAGGTTCGGGTACTGTCGTGTGTGCTCGGACAAATTGGCGCTCTTTCGGTTGCCAATTATTCTTGAGATAGAGGCGTTCCGGCTCCCGAATTTCTGCGAGCAGCTCGCCTCGCCGTTCTTCAAGTCGCGCCTCGTCGGGAGCTTGTATGTAATCCCAAACGAACCGAAGGAGCTCTTCCTTCGTTCCTTCGTATATTTGCCCGAGTCTAACAATCGCTTCTTGAAGTTCTCTGCGGCATGCCATTCACAGAGCTGCAATATTTGCCCATCTTCACCCTGAGGATCAGCTCGCTTGGGACGCCGCCATCGCGGCAACGAGCCCTTTGGTTTGATCCCCGAGAACGACTTGAGGTGGTGGGCAATCGTACCAGACCAGTTCCGCCAATTGGGCATTCACAAATTCGAAGGCTTCAGCTGATTCAGATGTTATAAAGGCGAAAGCCAGAGGAAATGTCTTGCCTGTGTTTGTGATTCCCACTATGACAGATAAAGGCAGGTGGAGGCAATTGGTGTTGAACGTCGCATCGGTTTGCATGAGGAATCCGCTGACGAATCTTCTACCCAGGCGGATCTGCTCGGAAGAACAGAAGAACAGGTGCTCGAGTACCCGCGCTGTCCGTCGTCCTTGGTCGTCGAGAAGGTATTTGAAGAAGCAACGAACGCGGAAGTCTTCGAACTCCAAACAAGTAAGCAAGAGGTCAAGCGCTTCTTGACTGCTGCGTCTTCCTTCAGACCGACTCAGGTTGTAGAACTCCTTTGCGGAAAGACAATTGCCTAAGCCGTGTTGGTCGAGAATCCGGGTTGATTCAGTCGCCGACAGGCCGGCAGTCCGATGCACGAGGGCCAGATCGACTGCTGCGGCCCGCTCGGGGATACGGGATCTATGGCAGGCGTAATGGAAGGGATTTTGAAGTGGCGGGTGCGTATGGCATGCGTAGGTGAAACCGACCACCCAGCCCTTTCGCTCCCTGTGACCGTATCCGATAGCTTTCGCGTGTTTCGCGTGCCTCTTCCATGATGGATGCAGCTCACTCGGAGGCGGTCGCATGCCTTGCTGGTAGTGACGAGAGCGAAACCCTGGGTGAAGGCATAGTCTTGGAACCAGCGAAGGGCTCCTCAGGGTCGTTCGCCTCGTCACCAGTAACGGGGGCGCGAAGATGCTCATGCGGCAGGGCTTCCACAGCTTTGTCGAAGGCGGAGCGGATGTCGCCAAGGAGGGTGTCGCGGTACTGGATCTCCATTTGGGTTTGCTTTCGCGTCGCCGCGATCTCCATCGAGCTTGATGAATTGAAGGGCGCGATTCTTACGGCGACGCGCACCTGGCAAGGGGCAATTGACAGTTATCCTATTTGGGCTGCAGCCAAGACGCGATCGTTTTTAACCCTTGCTTAGCGCAACAATCCCTGCAATCTGACTGTCCGAACCTGACTGTCCGGAGCCATCCCGATGCGTGCATGGACTCTTGGTGTGTGCAGATTGCTCTGCCACCTCCATCTAGGAAGGGGGGGCCCCGACCTTTGTAGGTACCGAGGCGAGATGTGGAAACTCTTTTGCATACAAATTTGGCCTAGGAATGTTTCCTACCGTAAAGTAACACGTTCCTTCTTAAAGACTGAACCTAACTACTCTAGCAATGCAAGGATAGAGATAGCGACTGGTTTACCGCAGGCGTTTTAGTAGCCCCAGGGGCAAACCGTCTTCCCCCGCCGCCTTCCATGGTGCCGTCCGTTTGATGACCTGCTCGACCTCCGAGGAGTAGGCACGGGGACTTCGCCAACTGTCATGACCACGAAGTGGCCCGGATCGAATACTCCTGCGGAGAAGACAATCGCCCTCCAGGGCAAACCCCGACTAACATACCTACACTCTCTACTTTCTTTTTCTACCCTGTAGGCCCTTCAGGGGCTTGCGGCCGGCCCATGACTTCGTGGTCTCTCTCAGTCACCTGGCCTCGGCCAAAACTGACTACTATTACTCTTTCACTGCCGTGCCTGGAACCGCTGACGAGGAAGGGCCCTGAATTTCCGACCGGCCTTCGAGCCTCAGAATTGCTAGATGGAGTGGTTAGGTGCTACACCCGGCCCTTAGTCCAGGTACTCGGGATATTCTATGTATCTAGTCTTCTAGCCTAGCACGTCTTTTGCCCTTATATGGCTGCCCCAGACGGTAATCAATACTACTATTACTACCACTAAAGGGCGGGCAGTAGTCAAGGTAAAAGATGGTGAGGCTTCTTGGTAACCGTGTAATGGTACATGTGAAAATAGTGCCATCTAGTCCGACTTGGCTCATATCCCTAGCCCCGCATTCATGTCTCGCTGTATAAGCGCCAAGAAAACGATCGTCACCGGTGAATGCTGGAACAGGCAAGTACTTTCGGGTCGTCGGGGACCAGAGGCTGGTGCGCTAGTGGTTGATCTTGTACTTTGACCGTGTAAAGCGCGTTAGAGTAACATATCATACCCCGCGTCAGACGGGGCTGTCGTCTGCAGTTGCATGCAGCTTGCAGCATGTCACAGCTCGTATTCATTACGTACTAAGTACAGACAGGTCTTTTCTTCATTCGGTTTACCTGTGTCGACTGCAGGGTTCGCCTTCTAGGATCAGCATACTGACCCAGCAGGAAACCTGAACTGGCCAATCAGATACCATTCCCTCTTCTCAGATGATAATTAGATACTCAGCCGGGACATCGGGCTGAAACGAATATATAAAGCCAGGTCCTCGCAGCGGAACTGGATACCAAACAGGATCGATTGCCACAACCTCTCGCCGACAATATTGCAAAGATTGAAGTATCAAGATTCAATATGAAGTTCACTATCGTATTGACCATTCTCGGGTGAGCAATCCATTCGCCTCAAACGACTTTGTCACTATTATTTGTCACTAATCATCTCCAGCCTTTCCGTCTGCGGTTTGTCTCGTTCATAACATCGGTCTTTCTCTCAACTAACAACAGCACTCAGGCGGCTCGGCGATATCTTGTGGAGACCAGGCGGGCTCCCGGGGTGTCAGATGTGTTGCGCGTGGCCGCAATTGTCCTCGTGGCTTTAGGCCAGTCTTTTATGACAACCTCGCCCCTGCCGAAGCGGCCAGAGATGCTGCATCTAAGTGGTGGACATTCGCCCTTGTGGGCTGGGCCGGCCTTAACAGATGATTGACAGGACCTGCTTCGTCCTGTTTTCATAAGCTGTGCGTGGGCTTGTTTGTTACCATAACCGCGTTATGGTACTTTGAAGATTTCTATGATTTCTTGCCTGGAGCCTTGGGCTTGATCCTTAAGTTTAGGTACCACGTCTTAATCGAATCGTTCGGGTCACGACAAGTCTGATAGTAGGATGTGTATATATGTTGCCTGATGTATCCCTTTGGGTGCCCGAAGACCTCCCCTAGGTCACGAGACCCACAATACGTAGCTACATGTCAGGGGCTAGCAGCATCAGCAAAACCTTCACCAGTCAATTTTGCTAGCAGCGCATTCAAATTAAGCTCTATGGCTTCGCAGGCAGCTATTCCTGCTGTGAATAGCTTCGAACAGACCCTATATGTGCGGCTCGACCACTGTCAGCGCGAGCAGCCAATTGACAGCACAGTCCGCCCCCAATTTGACCCCGAGCCCGAACGGGGCCCCGAATTCGTCCCTTTTCACGTCCCTGAGCGCGAGCCACAGCCCCAACAGCTGCCACCAACGCCGCTGTTACTTTTCCAGCAATTCCTACCCGAATCCCTAGTTAAGGGCTGGGTCGGGTACACCAATAACGGTCCAAGGCCAGGCCCAGAGGGTCCAAGGAAGAAGTATTCAAGAGAGAATAGCTGGACAGAGACATCTCTTGCAGAGGTCTTTATTTGGATTGCTACTTTAATTTATATGGGCTTACAGAAACAAGAGTTCGAGACCATTGGAAGACCTCTATAATTGACTCAATGGTCCCTACACACCCAATCCTTCAATTCATGTCATTTAACCGATACCAACTTCTACAACGGCACATTCTGAATTGGCGACCCGAATAGCATCTCTTGCGGGCTCCCAACGCCCTACGCACAGGTCAATGAGTGGGCTGAACACATACAGCAGGCGTCTCTTGCCCTCTGTCAGCTAGGCACTTGTTTGGCTGTGGATGAGTGCATCGTCGGCTATACAGGAAGATCAAAGCAGACAGTCACTGTCAAGAATAAACCCACACCCACAGGCTTTAAAGTGTGGGTTGTGGCCCAAGCAGGCTATTTCCTTCGGTGGTTCTGGCACCAACCTTCCAACGCCCTTGGCCCGGCTGCTGGGAAGAAAAGGAAGAGGGCCACAGGCACGGCAGAGAGCGGCATTTCTCTCAACCCGACCCAGGGCGTCGTTGTTTCCCTAGTCAAGCAGCTGCCAGAACAGACATACCATGTCTTCTTCGATAACCTCTTTTCCTCGCCGAACCTTCTCAACGCTCTTCGTCAGCTAGGGATTTGGGGCCACAGGCACAGCCCGAGTCAACTGTGGCTTCTACCAGCCCTTTGTGGAGGCGAAGAAAGCTGACACAAAGGGTGACTGTTGGCCTTGGGGCACGCTGAAGACTGCGCCTACTCCTGATGGTCAGGTAAGAGGTTCACGAGACAGGCTCCCTAGTAATTCCCTTACTAATTTGTCTTCTTCTTCTTTCAGGTCAACCAATTCGCATGGAAGGATAATGCCCTTGTGCTTTTCCTCTCAACAGTCTATTCAGGCGAGGAATTCGAACAGCGAATACGCCGGCGCCCGACAACAACACAGCCCCGAGCACGCCCAATACAGCATGAATTTGGTGATGAGCCTGTCAAAGAGCTATTTGTGCCGTCTATTGATGAAGCCCGTCTCGTCAAAATTCCAGATATTTTCGCGCCGGATATCGTGCCTCGTGATGAAATTCGGCCAGTCTTGGAAGAATGCCTCGACACAAGCTCGGTCTTGCATCGCCTTTCGCTTAACGTCTCGTGAAGCTGCTTTCCGGCGATGGAAATACCGTCCCCATCGCTTCATGAAACGCTGGGCCCATTTCTGTGATGCCGTGCCTCCCCTGCCTTTTGCCTTCAGAATGGCGTTGGCGTGTTGTTGAAGGGCGCGCCCCTGGATATGGTGCCCCTGAGCGATGCGGCGATGTGCCCAGCAAAGCACTTCTTGCTCTTCTTCCGACCCCAGTAGCGTAGCGTTCCCGCCATTCTCAGAAACTGGATGATGCCCTTGAATGCGTGATCTCAGGCGCTTGTACGGCACGCCCAATGCATCAGAGGCTGCCTTCATCGTACGGTAAAAACCTTCGACAAAGAGCTCCGATGCCGCGACAGTGCGAGCTTCGAGATTCTCTTGACCATGCCGCGCGAAATTGGGTTTATTCGTCTCAGAATTAATCCATTTTTGCATAGCAGTAGGTTCAGAGCTTGAGGAGGCCATAGCGAAAATCTCGTCGAAATTGCAGCTCCAATCCGTTTGCTAGGGCGGCTGATACACTGGCGCCCGGGCGCCATTTTAGAATTGGCGCCCGGGGCGCGTTTTCTGACTAAGCCCCAAAACCGTGTCCCCTAATAACTAGCACACATGTGCAACGCAAGCTTCGTTTATTCAGCCGAAGGCTGACTTTGCCTTGAGGAACGAAAGGACTTCATTTGCCTTGAGGAACGAAAGGACTTCATTAGCGCGCGGGGAAAAAAGGCCCCAGACTGCTTCACCCCCACATCCTCCGCCTCTGATTGGCTGATTTATTTCCTCTTTCGGAATAAAAGATCCCGTGTGATTGGTCGCCGACCCTTCCGTCCCTCCCTCATCATTGGTCGCTGCCGCCTTCTCTTGCCCCTCTCATGCCTTGCCCTGTTTCCCCCCCGTTTATACTCCTGTTTACCCCTTGCCAATGCCAATGCCAACCTTTTCCTTTCGTCCGCCGGTTTTCTTATTGTGTCTAAAACTTGCGTCTTTTGTCTTTGCCCTTTCGTTCATGCCTTTCTAGCGGGTTCTTCCTTCAAGTCTAAAGTCGCCCTCGTTGATCGCTGCTGCCCAGTGCCCTTGTCTTCTTGCCCGCCGGCGCTCCTCCGTCTTCTCCCCCTCGTCACCTCACCCTGACAACTCTCCTTGACTCTTCAGCGTCGCCATCCGACCGACGCAAAGCTTCCTCGACAGTCCTCTCGCTTAGCACCTCCAGCCTGGCCTGCGCGGCGGTCATCTCTTCGGGGACTCGGTTGCCCACCAAGTCTCTCTCCCGCACCTTGGACACGAGCGTGATGCCGTCTAGCGTTCGACAGCGCGATAGCTGCACATATAAGCTGTACGGGTCGCATTGCGAGGGCACGGCCCTTCCATCGACTTTCGTCGTCCGTGTCCCCCGCAGCTCCAGGGCCACGCGCTCTGGCGTTCTGCCCTGCACCTTGTAGTCCGTGCAGGCGAAGGCTGCTGCGCACGGCAATCCCTTCCGGCTGACGTCGTTCTGCTGCCACGGCCGCTTTCGTTGGCAGTGTATCCTGACGCTCATCGGCGTTAACAAGATCGTGCCCGGCGGCATCCCGACGAAGTGGAGGTCCTTTGTCGTCGCCGATTCCAGTAATATCCCGCCGGCGGCCCGAAGTGGATCGTCATGTCGGACGAGATTCGATGCCCTGGGGACGCCTTGTCGACAATGACCTCCACCGCCGAGTAGCCGGCGCCGTTCACCAGCTTCAGCCCCTGATGGGTGTTGTGGTTCACGACGACCGGCATCCCGGCCACGAACATGAAGACGGCCGGCACGGGGATCGCGCTATCGTCGCCTTGATTGAGTACCATGATCGCTTCTTCCTCGGTCGGCAGGCCCTCCTTCCACTTGTGCTCGGAGATGAAGATGCGCATCGTCGACCGCTGCTGGACCCGGAACGCCAAGCTTGCCTCCATGTTTAGGTTCCACCGATTCCTGTTCAGCGGCGTCACCACGGTGATGCCAGTCTCCCAAGGGATCCGCCTGCCCTCGCGGTAGCACCTTGAGTTGAGGAGGTCCAGATCCGTGCGGTCCTGCACACCCTGCCGGATCCGCTTCAGCAGCCCCTGCAATTCCGGATCACCGGCGGCGCGCATTTGCTCGTTCAACATGACGACCGTCGTGAATCTCTTCCACAGCGCGTGCGCTTTGTCGTGCTGGTGCCGCTGCTCGGCCTTGAACGAGTTGTCTACGTCCCACGAGATGGCCGCGCTCGGCAGGACGATCGACCTCTCTTGACCGGCCGGAACTGCTGAAAGTCTCCGCAGAAGAGGACGATGGGGATCCCCGAAATCTTTCTGCGATCCGCGAAGCCGACAGAGTCGCTCGTTTATGGCGTGCAGCGTCCGCGCTCCGAGCATGCTCACCTCGTCGATGACAAGCACGTCCTTCTCCTGCCAGTCCATCCGAGACTGGCCGTGGATGAACCGCTCCGCCCGTTTTGTCAGCCGCACCCCGTCAAGGTCCTTGGCTGTGTTCGCGCCGCCCGCCCTTGGTCTTTAGTGAACCCGCAGGCGGAGTGGATCGTGATGCCGTTGATCTGCGCCGCGGCAGTCCCTGACGTCGCCGTGATCAGCAGACGATTCGAAAGGCTCTTCCCACTGAACAGCTCGACGAGTGCCCCAATGATCCGCGACTTGCCGGTGCCCCCCTCGCCGCCGACGAACTGGCAGAGCTGGCCGGCATCGCCCTATTCGTTTGTCGCATCAAATCGAGCTGGCGGCATATTATTAGGAAAGCGATCGACTGCCTCTTGTTCAGCGTTAGCCGTGTTGACAACTCCTTGCCCGCCGCGAAGAAGGAGGTCGATGGGCCAAGCTGGACGCGCATTCCCGCTTCTGCGTCGCTAGCCGTCTCGTCGGAGTCGGCTGTCGTCATTTCGACGTCGTCCTCCCGAAGCCGGTCATCACCCTCCGCAACGCAGCTCGGCGATCGCTTTCCCGGACTGCGACTGTGGTTTGTACGCCTTGGATCATTCTCTCCCTTTCCTCGACGCACTTATCTGCTGCGACTTGATAGCCTTGACCTGATCCTGCGGCGGTAGTGCGGCCCCGGAAAATACCCGCCCTGGCATGCTTATGCACCTCAACCCTTGTTCGGGAATCGCGATGGCCTCGAGCTCGGCCGTTGAGCAGAGCGCCGATTGCTGGAATCGACAGAGCTGCCGCATCATTGCCATGAGCTCCGGCGACTTGGCCGTCACCTGATTCGTGCCCACTGCGCCTCGGACGACGTCGATCAGGCGCGTTGCGTCTCCGATGTTGTTGGACCGATACGTCGCTGCAAATTCTGCGCCCGCCTCGCCTGTCTCGCCCTCCTCGACGTGGGCGACCGTGGAATCGCCATCGCCGGATGAGGCCGCCCATTGCTTGGCGTCGCGCTTTGCGTCTTCGGCTGATCGTCGAAGCAGCTGCACGTTGTCGACGAGACATGATATTCTCGGGCCAGCGCCTCGCGCCCGCTCCCAGATGCTATTGATCTCACCTGTTTCTTCGCACAGAAAGGACTCCCACGGCACAAATAGCGCAAGATGCTGCACGGCTGCCCTTTAAGGGGAGGGGAGGTTAGCCACTCTGATGATGCCTGCCGGCAGGGCGGTTGCTATACACACCTCCGGTGGCACGACTCCTCGTCGTCGTTGTGGCCGAAGTCCTTGCTCAGGTAGCCATCGAGGCAGACGGTAGCATGCTTGCCCGGCCGCCTGAGCACCTGGACCCAGCGTCTCCCTGGCGCCCATCCATCCTCGAAGGGCACCTCCCAGGCCGCACAGCTCTCATCCTTACTGGTGCGTTTTAGTCTAACGACCGATATGTAGTCGTATAAGCATAGCCCTCGCAGGAGCTCTCCCGGTGCTGGTACGCCTCAACGTGGGAGATCCTCAGGCCTGCTTCTTCGACAACGACCGACTCATCCAGAGTATCATCTATGGCCGCCGCGCCACTTGCTCGTCGGAGATACGGCCACCGTCGAAAGACTTCCCAGTACAGCAGAGATGTGTTCAGGTACGCCCAGGCGCTGCTGTTGGTGAACTCGGCCGGATATCCAAGAAGATGAGCGACGACCTCGACCTGAGATAGCGGACGCTCCGTGAACACACGATTCGCCACCCTCATCAAGAACTGTCGCGTCCTGTTCCCTTGGCGGCGTCATCGCCAACAGCACCTCCACCGTCGTCCTGTCCTCCGTTGGCCGTGCCGTCACCCGTTGAGGCGGCCAGGAGATCGGCCGCGGCCGCCACACGCTTCCACACCGGGTCCTCCACCTTCGTCGCGTAGTTCGTGACATAATACATAAGGGCCATGGTCTTGCGCTGCGTCGCAATGAAGGAAATGTCGTGGTTGTGCCGGAGCCCAACAGCGATAGCCTTGTTCCATCGATTGACCATGCTGTGAGTCCTCCGGATCTGCAACACCCGTCTGCCGTGATGGCGGTCTTGTCGACCAACCTCCATGGAGACTTAAACCGGCATAGATTCCTTTCCGCGCTCCTTTGCCCAAGGAATACTTGACACAGGTCGGGCTATGCGTGTGAACCTGTGTAGCGCCGGCACAGAAGTTGGCCTCCTCGTCAAATGCGGCCGAAAACTGCTCGGTGTTGTCCAGCAGGAGGAAATATCGGACGTCACAGATCGCTCCGCTTGCACGGCGCAGAACCCTTCCTGATCCAGATCCTATCTTGCACGTCAGCCTGGCCCCGTTTGTCCATCGGACGAGCAATTCAGGTTCTCAGTGACACGTCTTAGCTATTCTTACCTCGGAGAAGACACTATCGACGTATCGTATGATTCGCTCGCGATACGCCGCCTGATCCTCCCCGTGGATGTCGGCAAGCATCGAGCTGAGATGCGCGTTTCCGTGCAACCAGAGCAAGCCGTGAACATGAAGCGCCCTCGTTCGTTGGTCTCCACAGCGCCATAGTACTTGCCGATGCGCCCGAATACCGACTCTTCTCCGACCTTCACGTAATGATCGAAGAACAGCTTCATCTCCCGGTGGAAGAATACGGCGGCGCTCATCGGATCGGACATGGCCAGCCTTGTCCGCTTGTACGCACTCCCAAGGCCTTCTAGGAACTCCTCGGCCGCGCCGGGATCGCGTGTCCGATATGCCGCCAGTCGCAGCTTCACCGGGTTCGTAATGTCGTTTGGGTTGATGGTGAACCAGATGGCCGGAACGCCGTAGCCAACGATGAGCGACTGGATTTTCCGCCGCATATTGAGCCGAACCTCTCGACATGGGTTGCCGGTGGCCGTACAGCGAGAGGCTCCTGAGAAGCTCCTTCACGCCCTCATCGGTCGTCTTGCCCGAGCTCTCCAACTCGACCTCGCCGCCGCTAACCTTTGCGCGGTCATCGAGCGGGCAACGCGCTCGACCTTGCCGAAGTCCTTCCTCGCCACACTCAGCATGCTGACGCGGCGGTTCCTCGACCGCACCCCCATGTTGAAGACGAGAAATGCAAATATGTGGTGCAACGCAAACCGGCCACCATGGCGCCGGAGCACGATGTCGGCCCAAATCCGGAGGTTCAAGCTTCGGGAGGATACGATGTCTCCGCTGCCGCCCCTGCCTCAGCAGCTCTACCGGTGCCTCGCAAGTTGGTAGGGCCTTCCCGCCTCGGCTATGGCCTCTTCGGCCAGCCTTGGTCCCCAACGCCAAATGGGAACAGGGTCGGGAACGTTCTGGCGAAGAAGGACGTCTCAAAGGAGTCGGCAAACTCATCCCCCCGCGAGACTCGAATGTATGGCTCACTGCCATCGTCGCCACGCCCTCGACCCCACCGAGGATCCGACCCACGTTCTCGGCCCGCGCGGCCGTCGTCGGCACCTGCGCCAACAGCGTCACAGGCAAACCGCAGCTTCTCGACATCCGCCACGTCTGGCGGTCCGTCCAGCCCAAACATGCCGGAAGACGTCACCTCGTTGATTGGTCGAACGTTCTGATCGGGGCTAGCACCAACTCCATCACGACCCGCGCCTTCTTCGTTGGGCCCGTGCCCTTCAGCCTCGCCTCCCGTTTCCTGCCTTTGGTTGAGCAGAGCGAAGAGTTCCTCGATCTCCACCGACCCCTCGTCGTCCATGGCGCGCTCCGTGGGCGGCACAACGTGCGCCGTCCGCGTTTTCTCCCATGCGGACGGCTCGTTCCGCTCCATGCGATCATACACCAAGGCCGGCACCCGTCTATCGGGTCTCCCAACTCTCCATCTCCGCCACGTCGATCTCGATCTCGGCGTAGTGGGGTTGCTCCTCTTCAGCCAAACAAGAGCCCTCTCGACGACCCGCCGCCTCACCGACAAGAGACTCGACAGGTCGCTCGGTGCCGGCTTCTCACGCCCTGCCACGAAACGTGGATCTCGTCCAGTGCTTGCAAAGGGGTGCGGGAGCACCTGGTCGCCAGCTCCTGCACGTTGTTGGGAAACACTGTGATGTGGCCCTTGACGTGCCTCGGATACCTCACGGCCTGCCTCTGCCCGCCCGGAATGCTATATCTCGTGACAAACCCATAGCAGGAGTTGAGCGAGACGAGCTTCTCTTCGACCAGCGTGAGTCCCTTGAGCTCGTCAGGGAACATGTGCTCACAGCCAAGGCGAGTGTGAAGATGGACCGCCGGCGACAGACTCCCGCGCGCCAGGCATCGGGCACACTCCGCACACACCGACACGGGCTCGCCTTCGGGAAAGCAGCTCCGGCATGAAAATGGTGAGCGGCCGCCCTCTGGCACGCAGCTTGACAGCCATTGATCCCATCTGATCCCCTCAGCTCTTTTCTCGTACGCTTGCGGTAGCACATCATGCAGGTCCGTATCGGCAACGTGCTCGCATCGTGGAACGCCTGATAAAAATCCCGCACCGTCGACACCTTCCTGTCGTGCGGTATTGGCGTACACCACGTCTGATCGTTAGACAGCCTCTCCTTCATGGCGAAGTCTTCCTCCAAAAAACGCAGCACACTCGCCAGGTCTTCGGCCCGCAGCTCCCGACTCCTCTGCCTTCCGATTCCACTCCGAATCTGTTTTCTCGGGCGCTCGTCCGGACCAGGAAGACGTTTTCTCTTCTCCCGCCTCCGGGGCCGCCTCCGGGCCGCCTCCGATCCATGATTTCTTCTCTCCGTGGCTGATTCGCTTCTTCGCAAGCCGTCGGATGCGGCAGCTTTGGCGACGACTGCCCGACTACGTGCGCATCCCCTGACACGCCATCCGGCCCTTTGCACTGGACAGGCACCGGGCCGTGCTGGCGAACGTTTTCCACGCCGAACCTTGACCTCAGTCCTTGCCCTTTCCAGCACTCTCCTCGTTCTTGCTGCCGATCAAACTGCACGGGCTCCCAGCCGCCACCCGCGATGAGCCGCCCACCTCCCTTTGCTGCAGCCTCCGCCCGCTCAGCGAAGCGTCCGCTGGCTCTGCCGCGGCGTCGCCCACCCCCACAGGAGACGGCCCCGGATGCTGCGCCGTACCTGCTGCGTTGGAGACACCCCTGCGGCCTGGTACTCCTTTACCCGCCAACTCCGTCCCCGACGGCGCTTGGGCAAACCAGACGCAATCGCTGCTGCTAATTGCCCGTTTTCTCTGTTGTCGAATACCGGTTCCCTAGGCTGGATGGATCGAAGCTTCGGTACCTCCTTCGAATGAACACTCGGGACATCGCCCGCCGCCGCCGTAACACGTTGCTCCTCATCTTCAGGATCTCCTCCTGAGGCAGAAAGTGCCGATGAGGAGCGGACGATCAGAGTCCGCTACCCCATATCTCCACGTTCCCTAGGCAACAGGGGCCTCGGAAGCTGACCCGGTGACTGATGTTGCGCGGAACTTCCGCTGCTAACCATATTATGGAACTTCCGTGCTCTGTTTGACCGCAAACCGCCTCGCGGCGGTCTTCTCGGCAACGACCTCGCAATTGCTTCTGCGTGCTGTCTCCATGCGGTGTCTTCAACCACAGGTTTCCTAGGCTGAATCGGCCGGAACGTTGATGCCGCATTCGCCCGTGATTCGTATCTTCGTAACCGTCCCAGGCTCTCCCCGTGCTCTGCGGCCCTCTCAGAAGCTGCCACCACATCTACACCGGCTCCTGTCGCACCATCTCCGAGCCCCGAACCCGACCCGCTCACGTTCTCACCCTCTTCTCCATCCCCGACTGACAACGAACAGGCTTCAGGGTGAGCAACCGCCTCGCTTAACTTCACTGCAGGACTGTCCGCCATGCTGCTGCCTCCTCGACGTCGACTGCCGTAAATTGGCAACAGGCTATAAAGCTTTGGCTCCGGAGCACCTCCACTTGGACAGTCTCGCTTGTTGACGACGCTACTTCTCCCGAATGGGAAGCTCCTAACCATCACTTCCTCATGGCCGTGGCGTTTCTTCCTTATAGCTTCCTATAAAATGCTTCCCTATGGTACCGAGGCGATGCAATACTACCCCTCTATATTCCCCCGTTACCATGCCTATCTATGTGCGTCCACCGTCCCGGCCTCGCCTGGTCTCCACGTGCGACCTGCTACCCCGGCTTTGCCAAAAGCGACCCTTCCATCGCCGTGCTCTCTTTTGCGCACTCCAGCGAATCCCTGGCCACTGCCGACCTCCGGCACATGGAGATGGCCGCGACAACCGCCTGCCGCACACTTCAAACCATACTCTTCAGCCCTTCCAACACCATCCTACCAACCTTGCGCATCAGTTCACCATCAATACCCGCCAATCCGCCTCGTCGAGCAACAGCCACAAGGCTGCCGGCGATAACATGTCCATGACGTCCCTCATGCAGCCGGACTACCCTTCTAGATTTGCTCCCTCGCCAGCACCAATGTCGCATCAACGGCCTTAATGCTAAAGCGATAGCCAGGACCCCCCTGCCTGTCCTCTTGTAGTCGCTAGCCACCGGAGTCTCGACTTGCAACCCCTCTTGAAAAGTTCTCGTGCCCAACTCGCACCCTCCTCCTCAGGTCGACCCATATACCCGACTTCCCCGTGCCCAAATAGTAGACTCGACACGGTCGGCCCCCGCCTCGCTCAGCCGCACGCAATGCCCATCCAACTACCGACGACCGTCAAAAAGGGAGTCCTGCAATACTACCATAACCTCTTTCTTTCCTTCACTCTCATTCGTTATTGCCCCCTTTGCTATCTACTCCATGCAACGATGACACCGAAGGGGACTACTGGACTTTCTTTCTCCGCAGTCTTACCCACACTAACCTTACCGTTCGCCGACCTCCAACTTCTCGCAACATAGCCATCACCCCTACTCAACTTCCAACCCCCGGCTCCCTACTTCACTCACGACCACAGAACCAGATGGTCGAGACTGCTCGAGAACCTCGCCAGCTCATTCCCGCATACCCCCGCTTCTGATCTATCACCTAGGTAGCATTCACTGACTCTCAAGTCTCCCCGACCCGAGCCACGAGCCCTCTTTCGAGCAGCAAGAAAACCTGCTTTATAGGATGCCTACCTCTACTCTGCCTAACCCCTCCTTTACACTTCCACGGTGACCACATCTGCCATGTTCTCACGATGTCGGCCTCCCAGCTCAACGTCGATACCTCGTCCTCCCGCGGCAACCTCTTGACAGCCAGAAAATGCTGGCGCCGACATGTCCATGATGGCCTTTGTCCAGCCCGGCTGCCCGTCTAGGTTCGCCTACCAGAATGAGCATCGTGTCAAAGGGCTCAACGCAGAAACCCTAGCGAGGGTCTTCCTTCCAACGCCCTCATGGCTGTCGACTCCAGAGTATGCAGCAATCCGGTCAGATCCTGACAATCCATCGACCTGCATCTTCTTGAGCCTTAATATTTCCATATACAACCAACAGATAATCCTCCGAATGGACCGAGCAGTGGTTCTTTATGGTCGGCCGTGTTCATCCCTTTGCCCTGACGTGGGAAATCGAGCGACGTGATAGCTTCGAGTCGGAGGATGACAACATTACAGAATACACCATCCGGCTCTCATCGTCCGCGACCACAGCTACCGGCCGTAGGTGTATGCTCCAGACCTCCGTCACCACTACCATCTCTGACGATGGCCACAGAGTCATCCTCGCACCTCGGCTCGGCGGATGCCTTCCCAGCGATACAACCCATTGTCTCCTTCACGGGACCTGTCATCGGTTCCGGCCGCGACCTTCTGCATGGAAACTCGGCTGCGGCCCTTGACGACACCCAGCTGAGCTGTTGCGGCTTTGTCCAGCTCTCGACCTTTATCTGTCCTGGGATTCCGGGCAAACACCCTTCAAGGGCTTTCATCCCTTTCAACTTTTCGTCATCTTCCCCATTCACGCCAATCCTTGGACCTCCCTATGCAAGAAGATGACCGAGAGGCGCGATAGCCAGTTCCAGCCGAACGCTCTCCTCACCTGCACGGGCAAAATCGCCGGCTTACTCGATCACCAGATCATGACACATGCCCCGGCCTTCGAGCAAGACTATATCTTCATCGTCGTCCCCGATACATGGACTTTCCTTGACAGGGCCATGTCCAACCAGGCTTCTGCGACACAGCTACTGCCGACGACACCCAAGGGCTCAGTCGGCAACCCTCGGACTATAGCGATGCGTTGGCCAGGTTTACCTCTACCAAAAACGCAATGCCGCCCCAAGCGGCGCCTCCCACGCCGCCTGCATCTAGGTCAGTCGATCTCTTATGATGACATCAAAGCGGTCATTGCCCGATCCCGACCAAACCCCAACCAAGAGACCGCGACTTTCTCCAGAAATTTCCACCATAGTCGCCGCCTGTGATAGTCGAGGCCCCGCCAAATCCGACACTTCCTCCCTTCTGTCCCACGAAGACCCCGGAGACTCAGAGACGGACACCGAGCCAGTCAATCACCCAGCCACATCCGCCTCTGGCCCTATCAGACCTCCGGCGTCAATCTCTTCCCGACCCCACCGCGCCCGACATCCGCCCAAGAATATTCTGTAAAGCAACGAACGAAACAACACAACATGACAAGGAACATGTTTCATCATCCTCAAACTCAAGTGCGAAAGGCCCTAATGGGATATTTCCTTCTCCTCTTGCTCTCCTTTTCACAAAGACAATCCAGTCAAAACTTCTCCAATATACTCCTTATTCTGTTTATATCCACCACTTATAGCACCTGTAAATCCTCAGAGCCTTCCACTCCCCACATGCATTACCCACCCACAACTCTCTTCACCCCTGCCGCCTCTTTTGCGCCTTTGCAAAGCAAAGCAGCGGCCTAGGCTGCCTCTCTGACGCTCTGTCTCGATTTCACTCACGATAATGCTCTACGTCTCTCGCCGGATCTCCATCTCATATCTCTTATCTCACTCTTCTTCCTGTCTTCCTCTCACTTCCCCTGTCTCCTATCTCCTGTCGCCAACTCTCTCCTCTCCCCGACTTTCTCCTGTCGCCATCGCCAACTTTCGTTCCGAAAGGCCTCTTTGCGCGAGCCGCGGCTGGCGAGCCTTCCCCTCGTACATTAATCAGAATAAGTGCCTTGAGGAACGAAAGGCCTTTCTAACGTGCCCCGCTGACCCCGCCCTCTCCCCCCAAAAGTTCTCCGCCCCTTGATTGGTCCCTTGTGATTGGTCCCTCCTTGCCTCCCTCCTCGTTGGTCGCTGCCCTTCCCCCGGCTTCTGTTGCCTTTTCGCGTGCCTTATCCCACCACTAGGCGCCTCCCACCCTGTCTGCCGCCTGCCGACTCTTCCCGCCTGCCGAACTCTTCATCGCGTCACCTAGCGCGGCCGCCTTGACTCTTCAGCATCACCGTCCAGCCAGCGCAACGCCTCCTCAACGGTCCTCTCGCTCAGTACCTCGAGCCTGGCCTGTGCGGCAGTCATCTCCTCGGGACCCGGTTTCCCACCAGGTCTCTCTCTCGCACCTTCGACACGAGCATGATGCCGTCTAGAGTTCGGCAGCGCGATAGCTGCACGTACAGGCCGTACGGGTCGCACTGCGAGGGCACCACCGTTCCATCCATCTTCGTCGTCCGTGTCCTCGCAGCTCGAGGGCCACGCGCTCCAGCGTTTTGCCCTGCACCTTGTAGTCCGTGCACGCGAACGCTGCTGCGCACGGCAAACCCTTTCGGCTGACGTCGTTGCGTTGCCACGGCCTTTTTCGCTGGCACTGTATCTTAACGGTCATGGGTGTCAACAAGATCGTGCCCGGCGGCATCCCGACGAAGTGGAGATATCTCGTCGTCTCCGATTCGAGAATGATCCCCGCCGGCGGCCCGAAGTGGATCGTCATATCGGCCGAGATCCGATGCCCCGGGTACGCCTTGTCGACAATGACCTCCAGGAGGACACGCAGAGAACCGAGGCTTCATTGGTACCCAAGATCACCTTTGCAAATACCAAGAAAACGGCCAGCTAGGCATTGAGGGCCTCATCATGGAGACGCCGGCTGAGGCCGTGATCATGGTGGGGCGAAGCGCGTCGCCTGCGTCGACACCCGCGAAAAGATCGACACGCGTCGTGAGGCCAAGCACCAAAATTCGAGAAGCCGCGCGACAGCCCGACGATCTGGCGGAGAAGACAACACGCGCAACTAGGCTTGCAACGCGCATTGCCTCGGACGATGTCGCCATCAGTGACGCGACTGAGCGGCGCAAAGTTGCCAGCAGCAGCAGTGGCGCGAACGAAGGCCGAGCCATGCTCCAGAAAGTTCTCGAACTCTTGAGCGAGTCACGTCAAGAAACGCACTGAGATGAGCTTCGTCACATCCGAGCGCAGTTAGAGACCCTGGCTACGCCCGCATCTTCTCTGCAGAGCAGTCCGCAGATGTCGTATGCGAGCGCTGCAGGGTCATCGCCGACGATCCAGACAATGAACCGGGGCACCGTACCAGCAGCTAAATCGGCACGAACAGCCGTCAGCGATAGTCTCTACTGTACGGTGGACACATCACGAGTCGAAGAAGCGAACAGGTGCCAGACGCAGATCGGCAACATCCGAAAGGCCATAGAGAGCGACATGAGAAAGAGTCAGAGGCAGGAGACTTGGAAATGCGCAGCGGTCGTGACAGACGCTCGAAACCCCGACCGGATCAAAATTTTATGCAGAGACCAAACCGAGTTGAAGCAGGTCAAGGAAGCAGCGCAGAAGACGGTAACTTCGGGAGCCAGGGTACTGAGAGATCAGCTTTACCCTGTCAAAGTCGACAACACCAAGCGTACCGCAGTGCTGGACGCCGAAGGCAACGTTCTGCCGGGCGCAGCTGAGGCGCTCGGAGCCGAGAATTACGTCACGATTGCCAAGATCACCTGGCTTAGCAACAGAAAGAAAGCGTACGGGTCAATGGTGATCTATGTCACTAAAGAGAGTGACGCGCAAAGACTTCTGGACGGCGTGTGGTTCGATGTTGCGGGAGAGTCCGCCTGCACCAATGTTTTGAACGCCGCGTAGGACCGATTCAGTGCTTCAACTGTCAAGAGATGGGACACAAGGCGTTTTCATGCAAGAAGCCGCAAAGATGTGGCAGATGCGCGAAAGCAGAACATCACCACAGAGAATGCAAGGAGACAGTGCCAAGTGCGTGCCCTGCGGTGGACCACACGAATCGTACAGCCGGAACTGTCGGGCGCGGAACCCTGGGGATGAGACGCAGGCAGCGTCTGGCCCTTCGGACTAAGCAGCGGAAGTGAGAATCCACTTAGGATCGATTATGGCACTAACCTTCAACAATACTAACACACAGGTATTCGACTTCGGATTTCGACAGACCGCGCTTCAGCTGCTGAAGGTAGGACGCTGAACACTTGGAGAAATTGGCCTTCAAGCAGGCCTGTCACGGAGAGTAGCGGCGAGGTTGGTGTAGCGTATGCTGACCCGTGGGGCTTAAGGTGTTACGCATTAATGTATTGAAATGTCAGTAGCTTTTACGTCTAGGCCCTATAGGAGAAATCCTCCGGGTGAAATACACATACATACATACAATGACCTCCACCGCCGAGTAGCTCGCGCCGTTCACTAGCTTCAGCCCCTGGTGGGTGTTGTGGTTCACGACGATGGGCATCCCGGCCACGAACATGAAGACGGCCGGCACCGGGATCGCGCTATCGTCGCCCTGGTTGAGTATCATGATCGCCTCTTCCTCCGTCGGCAGCTCCTCCTTCCACTTGTGCTCGGAGATGAAAATGCGCATCGTCGACCGCTGCTGGACCCGGAACGCCAGGCTCGCCTCCATGTTCAGGTTCCACCGATTCCTATTGAGCGGCGTCACCACGGTGATGCCCGTCTCCAAGGGATCCGCCTTCCGATCTCGGTAGCACCTTGAGTTGAGGAGGTTTAGATCCGTCCGATCCTGCACGCCTAGACGGATCCGCTTCAGCAGCCTCTGCAGCTCCGGGTCGCCGGCGGCGCGCATCTGCTCGTCCAGCATGACGACCGTCGTGAACCTCTTCCACAGTGCGTGCGCTTTGTCGTGCTGGTGACGCTGCTCGGCCTTGAACGAGTTGTCTACGTCCCACGAGATGGCCGCGCTAGGCAGGACGATCGACCTCTCTTGGACCGGCCGGAACTGCTGAAAATCTCCGCAGAAGAGGACGATGGGGATCCCCCCGAAATCTTGCCGCGATCCGCGAAGCCGGCGAAGCCGCTCGTTCACGGCGTGCAGCGTCCGCGCCCCGAGCATGCTCACCTCGTCGATGACGAGCACATCCTTCTCCTGCCAATCCATTCGAGACTGGCCGTGGATGAACCGCTCCGCCTGTTTCGGCAGCCGCACCCCGTCAAGGTCTTTGACCATGTTCGCGCCCCCCGCCCCTTGGTCTTTAGTGAACCCGCAGGCGGAGTGGATCGTGATGCCGTTGATCCGCGCCGCCGCAGTCCCCGACGTCGCCGTGATCAGCAGACGATTCGAAAGGCTCTTTTTACTGAACAGCTCGACGAGTGCCTCGATGATTCGCGACTTGCCGGTACCGCCCTCGCCACCAACGAACTGGCGCAGCTGGCAGGCATCGCCCCCGTCGGTCTGCTGCATCAAATCGAGCTGGCGGCATATTATCAGAAAAGCGATGGACTGCCTCTTGTTCAGCGTCAGCCGTGTTGCCAACACCTTGCCCGCCGCGAGGGAGGAGGTTGATGGGCCAAACTGAACGTCCATTCCCGCCCCTGCGTCGATAGCGGTCTCGTCGGAGTCGGCCATCGTCATTTCGACCTCGTCCTCCCCGAAACCGGTCATCACCCTTCGCAACGCTGCGCGGCGATCGCTTTCCCAGGCGGCGGGCGTGCTTTGTATCCCTTGGATCATCCTCTCCCTCCTTCGAGGCACTTACCTGCTGCGACTTGATAGCCTTGACCTGATCCTGCGGCGGTAGTGCGGCCCCGAAAATACCCGCCCTGGCATGCTTAACCGCCTCTCCTCGTTCGATCAGCGCCGTGGCCTCGAGCTCGGCCGTCGAGCGCAGCGCCGATTGCTGAAACCGACAGAGCTGCTGTATCATTGCCATGAGCTCCGGCGACTTGGCCGTCACCTGATTCGCTCCCACTGCACCTCGGACGACGTCGATGAGCCGCGTTGCGTCTCCGATGCTGTTGGGCTGATATGTCGCTGCAGACTCCGCGCCCGCCTCGCCTGCTCCACCCTCCTCGACGTGTGCGACCGTCGGGTCGCCATCGCCGGACGAGGCTGCCCATTGCTTGGCGTCGCGTTTTGCGTCTTCGGCGGATCGTCGAAGCAGCTGCACGTTGTCGACGAGACGTGATATTCTCGGGGCCATAGCGTCTCGAGCCCGCGCCCAGATGCTGTTGATCTCACCTGTTCCTTCGCCCAGGAAGGACTCCCACGGCACGAACAGCGCAAGATGCTGCACGGCTGCCCTTCAGGGGTGGGTTAGCCTCTCCGATAATGCCCGCTGACAGAGCAGTTGCCATACACACCTCCGGTAGCACGACTCGTCATCGTAGGTGAAGTCCTTGCTCAGGTAGCCGTCGAGGCAGGCGGTAGCGTGCTTGCCCGGCCGCCTGAGCACCTGAACCCAGCGTCGTCCCGGCGCCCATCCATCCTCGAAAGACATCTCCCCCAAGCCGCCCAGCTCGTCGTTGCCGATGCGTTTCAGTCTGACGATCGATATGTAGTCATACAGGCATAGGCCTTTCAGCAGCTCTCCCGGTGCTGGTACGCCTCGACGTGGGAGATTCTCAGGCCTTCTTCTTCGACGACGACCGACTCATCCAAGGTGTCATCCGTAGCCGCAGCGCCACTGGCTTCTCGGAGATGCCGCCATCGCCGAAAGACTTCCCAGTACAGCAGAGAACAGTTCAGGTACGCCCACGCGCTGCTGTCGGTGAACTCGGCCGGATATCCGAGAAGGTGAGCGACGACCTCGACCTGTGATAGCGGACGCTCCGTGAACACGCGGTTCGCCACTCTCATCAGGAACTGTCGCGTCCTGTTCCCTTGACAGGGTCATCGGTGGCAGCGTCTCCGCCACCGTCCCGCCCTCCGTTGGCCGTGCCATCACCTGTTGAGGCGGCCAGGAGCTCGGCCGCGGCCGCCACACGCTTCCACACCGGGTCCTCCACCTTGGTCGCGTAGTTCGTGACATAATAGATGAGGGCCATTGTCTTGCGCTGCGTCGCAATGAAGGAAATATCATGGTTGTGCCGGAGCCCGACAGCAATAGCCTCGTTCCATCGATTGACCATGCTGTGTGTCCTCCGGATCTGCAGCACCCCGTCTGCCGTGAGGGCGGTCTTGTCGACTAACCTCCATGGCGCCTTGAACCGGCAGAGGTCCCTTTCCGCCCTCCTTTGCCCAAGGAGTACTTCACACAGGTCGGGCTATGCGTGTGCACCTGCGTCGCGCCGGCACAGAAGTTGGCCTCCTCGATAAACGCGGCCGAGAACTGCGCGGCGTTGTCCAGCAGGGAACCAATACCGCCCGTCACAGATCGCTCCGCTTGCACGGCGCAAAAACTTTCCTGGTCCAGATCCTGCCTTGCACGTCAACCCGGCCCCACTTGGCCATCAGAAGAGTACTTCAGGCTCCCGGTGGCACATCTTAGGTAGGCATTCTTACCTCTGAGAAGACGCTATCGATGTATCGGACGATTCGCTCGCGATACGCCGCCTGATCCTCCCCGTGGATGTCGGCAAGCATCGAGCTGAGATGCGCGTTCCCGTGCAGCCAGAGCAAGCCGTGAACATGAAGCGCCCTCGTTCGTTCGTCTCCACGGCGCCATAGTACTTGCCGATGCGCCCGAATACCGACTCTTCACCGACCTTCACGTAATGATCGAAGAACAGCTTCATCTCGCGGTGGAAGAACACGGCCGAGCTCATGGGATCCGATATCGCCAGCCGTGCCCGCTTATACGCATCCCCAAGGCCTTCTAAGAACTCCTCGGCCGCGTCGGGATCGCGTGTGCGGTATGCCGCCAGTCGCAGCTTCACCGGGTTCGTAATGTCGTTCGGGTTGATGGTGAACCAGATGGCCGGCACGCCATATCCGACGATGAGCGACTGGATTTTCCGCCGCATATTGAGACGGACCTCTCTCGACATGGGCTGCCGGTGGCCGTAAAGCGAGAGGCTCCTGAGAAGCTCCTTCACGTCACCATCGGTCGTCTTACCCGAGCTCTCCAACTCGACCCTCGCCGCCGCTAGCCTTTCTGTGGTCATCGAACGCACGATGCGCTCTACCTTGCGGAAGTTCTTCCTCCCCACACTCAACATGCTGACCCGGCGGTTCCTCGACCGCACCCCCATGTTGAAGACGAGAAATGCGAAGATGTGGTGCAGTGCAAATCGACCACCATGGCGCCGGAGCACGATCTCGGCCCACGCCTGAAGGTTCAAGCTTCGAGACGATACGGGGTCTCCCGCGGCCGCCTCTGCCTCGACAGCCCTGCCTCGCAAGTTGGCCGTGACCTTCCCGCGTCGACCATGGTCTCTTCAACCAGCCTTGGTCCCCAACGCCAAATGGGAACAGGGTCGGGAACGTCCTGGCAAAGAAGGACGCCTCAAAGGAATCGGTAAACTCACCCCCCCGCGAAACCCGGATGTATGGCTCACAACCACCGTCGCCACGCCCCCGAACCCCCCCGGCTAGGGACCCGACCCACGCTCTCGGGCCCGCACGGCCGTCGTCGGCACCTTCACCAACAGCGTCACAGGCAAACTGCAGCTTCTCCACGTCCGCGACGTCTGGCGGTCCGTCGAGCGCGAACATGCCAGAAGACGTCACCTCGTTGATCGCTGGAACGTTCTGGTCGGGGCAGGCGTCACTTCCATCGCGAACCGCGCCTTCTCCGTTGGGCCCGTGACCTTCACCCTGGCCGCCGGCTTCTTGTCCTTGGTTGAGCAGGGCGAAGAGCTCCTCGATCTCCACCGCGCCCTCCTCGTCCATGGCGCGTTCCGTGGGCGGCACAACGTGCGCCGTCCGCGCTTTCTCCCACCCAGACGGCTCGTTCCGCTCCATACGATCGCACACCGACGACGGTACCCCGTGTATCGAGTCTCCCAGCTCTCCATCTCCGCCGCGTCGATCTCGATCTCGGCGTAGTGGGGTTGTTCCGCTTCAGCCAGACAAGGGCCCTCTCGACCACCCGCCGCCTCACCGACAAGAGACTCGACAGGTCGCTCGGTGCCGGCTTCTCCGCGCCCTGCCACGAGATGTGGATCTCGTCCAGTGCTTGCAAAGGGGTGCGGGAGCACTTTGGTGGCCAGCTCCTGCACATTGTTCGGAAACACCGTGATGTGGCCCTGACATGCCTCGGATACTTCACGCTCTGCCTCTGCCCGCCCGGAATGCTATATCTCGTGACAAACCCGTAACATGAGTTCAGCGAGATGAGCTTCTCTTCGACCGGCGTCAGTCCCTTGAGCTCATCGGGAACATGTGCTCGCAGCCAAGGCGACTGTGAAGGTGGATCGCCGGCGACAGGCTCCTGCGCGCCAGGCATCGGCCACACTCGGCGCACACCGACACGGACTCGCCCTCAGGAAAGCAACTCCGGCATGAAAATGGTGAGCGGCCGCCCTTTGGTACGCAACTTGACAGTCAATGATCCCATGTAATCTCCTCAACTCTCCTCGTACACTTGCGGTAGCACACCATGCAGGTCCGTATCGGCAACGTGCTCGCATCGTGGAACGCCTGATAGAAGTCTCGCACCGTCGACACCTTCCTCTCGAGCGGTATTGGCGTGCACCACGTCTGATCGTTAGACAATCTCTCCTTCAAGGCAAAGTCTTCCTCCAAAAAGCGCAGCACACTCGCCAGGTCTTCGGCCTGCAGCTCCCGTCTCCTATGCCTTCCGATTCCACTTCGGACCTGTTTTATCGGGCGCCCATCCCGGCTAGGAAGACGGGCTCTCTTCTCCCGCCTCCGGGACTGCCTCTGTCCGCGCAGCGAGCCGTCCGCTGCCTCTGCTGCGCCATCGTCCACACCCACCTGTGTGTGCCCTTGGCCGCCGAACCGGTCCCCGACGGAGCTTGGGCAAACCCCATGCAATCGATGCTGCAAATTGCGCCGTTCGTCTTAGGTCTTGGAAAGTCGTATCCTTGGGCTGGATAGGTCGGAGCGTCGGTCCCTTTTTCGAACGAACACCCGGGACACCGCCGGTCGCCGCCTTATCTCCCTGCCCGTCACCTTCAGGACCCCTCTCCTGGGGCAAAACGGCCGATGAAGGGTGGACTGTTAGAGCCCACTGCCCCCTGGTCTCCACGTTCTGTAGGCAACACGAACCTCGGAAGCGGACTCGGTGACTGACGTTGCGCGGAATTTCCGCTGCTGACCAAATTACGGGACTTCCGTGCTCTGCTTGACCGCAAACCGCCTCGCGGCGGTCTTCTCGGCAGTGACTTTGCGATCGCCTCTGCATGCTTTCTCCATGCGGTTTCTTCGACCGCAGACTGCTTAGGCTGAATCAGCCGGAACGTTAATGCTTCATTCGCCACTGATCTGTATCTCCCGAACCGCCCCAACCTTGTCTCCCGTGCTCCGTGCCCTTCTCGGAGTTGCCCTGTATCATCTCCGCACCCCGAAACAGGCACTCCCCCGTTCCTACCCTCTTCTCCATCCTCGACTGACAACGAACAGGCTCCACGGTGAGCGGCCGCCTCGCCTAGCTTCCCTGCAGGACTGTCCGCCATGCTACTGCCTCCTCGACGTCGACTAGCGTGGATTGGCAACAAGCTAGAAAGTTTTGGCTCCGGAGCACTTCCACTTGGATAATCTCGCTTCTTGGCGTACACTATTTCTTTCCGAGTGGGAAGCTTCCTAACGATCACTACTCTCATGGCCGTGGCGTTTCTTCCCTTATAATGCTTGCCTATGGTACCGAGGCGATGCAATACTACTACCCCTTTGTAATCCCCCATTTACCCTCCCTATGTGCGTCCACCGTCCCGGCCCTCGGCTGGTCTCCACGTGCGACCTGCTACCCCAGCTTTGCCAAAGGCGGCCCTTCCATCGCCGTGCTCTTTTGCGCACTCCAGCGAATCCCTGGCTACTGCCGACCTCCGGCACATGGGGGTGGCCGCGCCGACCGCCCGCCGCACACTTCCAACCATACTCTCCGGCCCTTCCAACGCCGTCCCACCCACCTTGCGCATCAGTTGCTCCATCAATATCTGCCACTCCACCTCGTCGAGCAACAGCCAAAAGGCTGCCGGCGATAACATGTCCACGGTGTCCCTCGTGCAACCGGACTACCCGGCTAGGTTTGCTCCCCTCGCCACCACCAACGTCGCATCAACGGCCTTCATGCTAAAGCGACAGCCAGGATCCCCCTGCCTGTCCTCTTGTAGTCGCTAGCCACCGGAGTTTCGACTTGCAAACCCTCCTGGAGAGTTCTCGTGACCAACTCGCATCCTCCTCCTCAGGTCGTCCCCTATATCCGACTTCACCGTGTCCCAATAGTGGACTCTACACGGTCGGCACCCGCCTCGCTCAGCCGCACGCAATGCCCATCCAACTACCGACGACCGTCAAAAAGGGACCCCTGCAATACTACCATAACCTCTTTCTTTCCTTCACTCTCATTCGTTATTGTCGCCTTTGCTATCTACTCCATGCAACGATGACACCGAAGGGTACTGCTGGACTTTCTTTCTCCGCAGACTTACCCACACTAACCTTACTGTTCGCCGACCTCCAACTTCTCGCGACATAGTCATCACCCCTACTCAACTTCCAACCCCCGGCTCCCTACTTCACTCACGACCATAGAACCAGATGGTCGAGACTGTTCAAGAACCTCGCCAGCTCATTCCCGCATACCCCCCGCTTCTGATCTATCACCTAGGTAGCATTCTCTGACTCTTAAGTCTCCCCGACCCTAGCCGCGAGCCCTCTTTCGAGCAGCAAGAAAACCTGCTTTATAGGATGCCCACCTCCACTCTGCGTAACCCCTCATTTACACTTCCACGGTGACTACATCTGCCATGTTCTCACGATGTCGGCCTCCCAGCTCAACGTCGATACCTCGTCCTCCCCGCGGCAACCTCTTGACAGCGAGAAAAATGCTGGCGCCGACATGTCCATGATGGCCTTTGTCCAGCCCGGCTGCCCGGCTAGGTTCGCCTACCAGAATGAGCATCGTGTCAAAGGGCTCAACGCAGAAACCCTAGCGAGGGTCTTCCTTCCACGCCCTCATGGCTGTCGACTCCGGGTATGCAGCAATCCGGTCAGATACTGGCAATCCATCGACCTGCATCTTCTTCAGCCTTAATATTTCCATATACAACCAACAGATAATCTCCTCGGAATGGACCGAACAATGGTTCTTCATGGTCGGCCGTGTTCATCCCTTTGCCCTGACGTGGGAAATCGAGCGACGTGATGGCTTGGAGTCGGACGATGATAACATCACAGAATACACCGTCCCCGCGCTTATAGTCCGCGATCACAGCTACCAACCGTGAGTCTATGCTCCAAATCTCTCTGTCGCCACTGCCCTCCCTGACGATATCCATAGAATTGTCACTCGCACCTCAGCTCGGTGGATACTTTCCCAACGATACAACCCATTGTCTCCTTCACGGGACCTGTCATCGGCTCCGGCCGCGACCTCCTGCATGGAAACTCGGCTGCGGCCCTTGACGACACCCAGCTGAGCTGCTGCGGCTTTGTCCAGCTCTCCACCTTTATTTGTCCTGGGATTCCCGGCAAACCCCTTCAAGGGCTTTCACCCTTCCAAGTTTTCGTCATCTTCCCATTCACGCTAATCCTTGGACCTCCCTATGCAAGAAGATGACCGAGAGGCGCGACAGCCAGTTCCAGTCGAACACTCTCTTCACCTGTACGGGCAAAATCGCCGGCTTACTGGATCACCAGATCATGAAACATGCCCCGGCTTTCGACCAAGACTATATCTTCATCGTCGTCCCCGACACGTGGACTTTCCACGACAAGGCCATGTCCGACCAGGCTTCTGCAACACAACTACTGCCGACGACACCCAAGAGCGCGGTCGGCAATCCTCGGACTATAGCGTTGCGTTGGCCAGGTTTACCTCTACGAAGAAACCCAAGGCCGCCCAAAGCCCCGCCTCCCCCACGCCGCATGCTTCTGGCCCAGTCGATCCCCTTATGCTGGCATCAAGTCGGTCATTGCCCGATCCCTACCAAACCCCAACCAAGAGACCGCGACTTTCTCCCGAAACTTCCACCATAATCACCGACTGTGACGGTCAAGACTCCCAAATCCGATACCTCCTCCTTTCTGTCCCCGGAAGACCCAGCAGAGTCAGAGACGGACACCGAACAGGTCAATCACCAAGACACATCCGCCTCTGGCTCTATCAGACCTCCCGCGTCGATATCTTCCCGACCACTGCGCGCCCGACGTCCGCCCAAGAATATTCTCTAAACTTTAAAGCATCAAACGAAACAATACAACATGACAACATGTCTCATCATCCTCAAAATCAACTGCCAAAGGCTCGAATAGCACATTCTCTTCTCTTCTTGTTCTCCTTTTCATGAAGACGATCAAGTCAAAACTTCCCCAATATACTCCTTATTCTGTTTATACCTACGACTTATACCGGTAGCACATGTAAATTTTCCGAGCCTTCCACTCGCCCAGACATGCATTACCCACTCACATCTCTCTTCAACCCTGCCGTCTCTCCACGCCCTTTGAGTTTGCGCCTTTAAACAAAATCTCCCTCCAGCGGCCTAGCCTGCCTCCCCGACGCTCTGTCTCGGTTTCACTCACGATAATGCTCTACGTCTCTCGCCGTGTCTCGTATCTCGACCTCACTCTTCTTCCTGTCTCCAATCTACTGTCGCCAACTCTCTCTCTCTCTGTAGCCAACTCTTCTCCGGTTCTCTTGTCGCCAAATTTCGTTCCGAAAGGCTTCTTTGCGCGAGCCGCGGCTGGCGAGCCTTCCTCTCGTG